TGTTCCACTAACAACTAGCAGTTTAGAGACGCAGGAGCGCCCTCAGCGGGATCCATGATGAGTGGGTGAGATAGCGCACTGGCTTTTGCAACGAACGTAGAGGGTCTACCTGAGGATTTTTTCCACGATCCTCCAGGCAACCGATGTTAAGCATATCGGCGGATAATCTGCAGCATCATGTCGGTCTCTCTCTTCGTGTTTGAGCATCATATTCCCTACGTTCCTGTCACGTGATAAGCGGTCGTCAGCGAGTGAGTGCCGGAATACTTGGCGCATTGGATCGGCAATATGTTCGACTACCATTATGTAGTAGTTTGAGCTTATTTCAAGGTGGAATCCCAACACTATCTCGAGGCTGATTTCGACCTGCTCGAGAGAAAGTCAATTTACCTATAAGTTTCCAATAAGTAATGGCCGCTCCACGGAGTAAACTGTGGGGTATCGCGAAGCTGTAAGGTGAGCCTTCGCGTCGCCGTCGTAAAGCCCAGTATCTTCCTCGTGGGACGTTAGAGCATGAATGTTACTTCCCGCCTCAGCGTTTCGCTTCAAGCGTGAGAAAAGTTTTTTCAGGGATTACTTGTAAGTGGAAGGATTTTGGTGAGTATTTTTGTTCGTCGCAATCAGCCGACAATTCAGATATGTCAACTGCACCAACGAGATCAAGTATGTGCCTGGGAACGAAAAATAAGAACCGTATCTCCGATTCCTCATACTCCCTTACATTGACCTAGGCTCTCCAGCAACTGTACCACAGCTTCCACTGAGTTCCCGTCCACCTTGGCCTTCCTTTTATGTATTTTTGTTCGTCGCAATCAGCCGACAATTCAGATATGTCAACTAGCTATCCGGGATGTATTACCAGGCTAGCCTCATCGAGTCCGCTTCTGGCCTTTTTCTAGAGTTCACAGATTTTAGATCACCTTGCTGTCGTTTTTGTGTTGTCCATTCATTAGAGATCTCACCTGTCCGTCGATCCAAGGGGAACCATTGGGGAAACCTGCCTTCGGAGATGGCTACGACATTTTCTATGACCGGCATAATCTTCGAGCGTAGTAGGTCCCATGCCTCGCCAAGGTCCGAGGATTGAAGGTTATTCAAGTCAGCAGTGCTTGTCACTTATTATCATCTGGCTGGAACGGCACACTAAAATTGCAACGATGAGTACCCTGGCCGTGGATGGCAAGACACTGTGTCCACGGAAAAGTATCTGTGCATTGGTCACTTCCAGGCCATAAACATTAGAGAGCGCTGGAGTGAGCAACAGATCAGGAATGTTTAGTGTTTAACTAGGAATCATCCGTGTTGGTGTTGAGACAAGCGGAATTGGATTCTATGACCACCGATGCCTTCACAGTTTGGCTCACATCTGGTGAGAGCAGCATGTGAGCAATGAGCGTGTTTGACGCCTTGCTTATGACACAGGAAGAAGAAATGAACTGCTCAGCACCATAATCTCACGCACCAGGCTCCGATGGCTGGGCCAGGTGTTGCGCATCCCAGCACACCGACTCCCGCGACAGACCTTGCTTTTGCGCCGGGGGCGTGGATGGAAGACGAGGAGGAGTGGCCAAGCGATGACTTGGTCAAGAAGAATGTAGGCCCTTACTTCGAAGTTGGCTTTGGTTGGCGCCTGTCGGCTCCCTGGTTTAGGACTGAAGGACGATGAACAACTTTAGCTGAATACGCTTGTTGACTTGGCTAGGAGCCAACCTCAACGGCGTTTGTGTTGACTTTCTTTGTCCCTCCTCCTCCCGCTTGACCTCTCACTCGAAGCACGATCATATTTATTACGGCACAATAGCCGGCTGTTGACTCTCTGGAACGATGTCCATCCCGTACTATGGACTCAGCCGACTTTCCGCTGTTTTGTTTTTCCTTTTTTTGTATTGCAGTACAATAGCGGAGATGTTTTAAACTTGCAGCTAGCGTGTATATTGGATGAATGATGGCTCCCTGGTTGGGGTTGGAAAGATACACTTGCTAACATGAATAGGAGGTAACCTCATTGGCTTTTATCTTGTGGGTTTCTTTGTCCCTCCACTCCCGATTGGCCTACCTCTCCATTCGCGATCTCATTTCCTAGCCTATTATAAATTTCGCAAGCTATAATTTTTTCGTGGCACTACACCTGCTGGTAGCTTTTCAGAACGTTGCTCATCTGCTAATGGTGACTCAGCTGGCGTATCTCGGTTGTAGGTCCTTTTTCTTCTTTTCTTGTGTATTGCAGCCTAATAGCTGTTTTTTCGCCTCTAGCTAACGTGTATGAGGGTAATGAATTGGATTGAGTTCATAAATAGCGTCGGAAACTCTGGCTTCTTAGAAGTATTGAGAGAGATCACAACGAAAAAGCTCCCCGTTCACACTGGGTGCATTGAAGTCGCTCATGAGTAGTTAATTCCTGTCTCTGTCATTGATTTTACCGATTGTAGTAAATAGGTGTCTGAGCCCAGTAGTGCTCTGTAGGTCACAGCAATCATGTGTAACTAATGGCCATCATGAATCTGGCATCAAACTATCTCTGAGATTTCATCGTCGTCACTTATCGCCTCAGTAACGTGCACATGGAGGCAAGCTTTCGGAAAGCGAATAATTTCACCCTCAGTAAGTCAGTAACAGTTGATATCAGGATATGCTAACCTCTATGTCCATAATATCTGAAAATAGCCAAGTCTCGTTGAAAGCCAACCGATCTGGCTGAGGAGAGCAATCATTCGTAGTCGGTTCTCTAATTTTGAGGATAGGGTTTTCTGAACAATACGAAAATCCACGTCATGAAGATTAGTTTCAGCGTTCGCTCGACGGGTTCACAGTTTTCTGACGGATTGTCTCATATTGGCTCGATCATCTGGGGATGTCTTTCAGAACAAATAACGTTTGCTTACGAATGAGGCGACATTCTGTCATCCTAGTAAACAATTTGTAAAGGGCGAATCTTGGTTGGATCATCCTGTCTTCTACCAAGACGAAAGGCACAGACGATGTTAGTACCCTGCTCGCCTACAGATGTTTCTGTAGCGCTCAAGCTCGCTTCAGTCTCATAAGTCCACGTTTTAGTCGTATTTGCAGCCTTTGCGTCTTAGTAGTTACTAATCCTTAGTGTACACGCTGAAGAAGTGGTGGAGACGCGGCTTCAATTTTGCACATGAGTAGCAGATCCAATTGTAGATATCGATAGGAGTTTACAATGCATTATCAGGTTGAAACGCCGGTTTATTTGGGGAGGATTATAGTATTGATGTCGTGAGATTGGCCAAAGAGACCTATGCTTCATCACAGCTGGACAACGGTCGCGGCGAAAAGTAATAACCAATGATTCAGTCCATTTTAGCCATTCATAAAGATTAGCCTCAATCCTACGGCGCGTTATGTGCAGGGATCCATCACACGAAGTCTACTGCACGGCCTTTGATCGTGAGGTGACACGTTTGCCGCAGTCCGAGCACTTAGATGCCATTATTGCTCTCTCTCTCTCTGTCACTCACTTTTATGATGAAAGTAACCTTAAGAGACTGAACACAGTAATGCTCGCCATCAACAGCTGTGACCAATTCTAGTGGTAGTGGAACGACAGAATTATCCCTTGTCTTTTTCAGCGGGTCGTTGAACCTGCAATTGACGAAGATCTTTGAAAGGTTGATGAACCCAAAACATAGACCGCATCACACCCTGATCAACCAATTATTATCTAGGTATCCTGCCCGGTTACACGCAATAGGCAAAAAGAGAGACGCATCAGCAGTGAGGAATTAGAAAAACGAAAGTTGTAGATGAGTCATTTGAGAGAAACGAAAGGCATAGTGTTGCCACCCAAGTGCATCGAGTTGATCGTTCGTGAAACCTATTAGGTGGGTACAGCCCATTGGAATTTTTCAACGTGATCCGATAATTCTCCAGTTGAATTGTCTTACAACCGAGGCGACCATTTTATTTTCAGCTCCGTGTATCAGCTAGCACCTTCGGAGAAGTGTCATGAGCGCGTCGTTGACAGCATGAGTGAGATTGGTGAGGCTTCGTCTGTGACAAAGGAGATGTGACTCCGAACTACTGTGACGGTGTATTTTGGTAGAAGAGCGGCACACCTGACATTGTCCTTTCCTTCGCAACATTTACAAACAGCATTAGGTGCAGGGCATCGAGATCGACTATTTCTCTTGAACCTGCAACATAAGTCAGTTGTGCGACTGAAGCAGCGACACATTTCCCAGAGGGTGGTGCGTCATATGTTGTTTGCAGTGGTTCTGATTGTCGTGTGGTAAATGCTCCATAGGTGTTTTCCGATTGATATGACTATGAATAATGGTAGTACACTTCCCGGGATCAGGCTTGTTCTAAAGTAATGTGGAGATCAAGCGACACATTTTCCAAGAGCCATCGATGTATCAATAAGGACTGCAGCCCAATTATAAGAACATCTCAAATGGCGTCCTCGCGATTTTCCTCTGCAGTCCTGGGTCAGTAACTTTAACTTCTGCGTGGCTCAACGGTTTCGCAGCGTTGGCACTGTTGGGATCACCATCGAAATGTTCCGGTCGAGAGATTAGGTCCATTAATTGCTAATTAGATTTTCATGTGAATATGCGAGGCTGAACCACACCGAGTGCGAATGAGTATAGCCCGAATGAATAGACTTTATTCAGCAAGTAACGACGATGAGGATGCTGAAAATAAGTATACAAAGTTTGTGCTAAATAACAGTATGGAAGTGCTTATTTGTCGGGTGCCCATGTACTTAGTGATGGCATGCAGCTTGCCGGAGGTGGATGTCAGGCGCATCCTCCATCCAGCCTCCTCTCTTACTAGGTATGTTTGATGAAACTATACAGCCGCCCACGAAGCATCTGTTTTGTATTTCAGCCCCCTCATACGTTCACTCTCGGAACCCTCAACCTGTTACATACTACAGTTCTGTTCAGGATTTTATCGCCATGGCACTGAATGATACTGAAGTTCAGCGTCAGGTATTTTGAAATTTTTGTGTTTTACTCTTGGAGCTGAAACATATGATGGCTTTCATCGATCAAGAAGCGCGAGAGAAAGTTGAAGAAATTGATGCTAAGGTTAGCTTTTATCCCTTGTCAACGATACCTTAGGCTGAGGAAGAGTTTCAAATTGAAAAATCCCGGCTTGTCCAGAACCAGAGGCTTAAACTTATGGAGTATTACACACGAAAGGAGAAGCAGATAGAGTTGACCAAAAAGATGTATCTCTACGTTTTATGCTTATTTGTATTTATCGTCTAGACAAGATTCGAACTTAAAAAATCAGTCTAGGCTCAAAGTTTTAGAAAGCCGTGAAGCTCATATTAAGGTAATTACATGTGTTTCTACTCTCTTCAGATGCTTTTAGATGAGACGAAGCTCCGTTTGATCGAATTATCTAAAGACCAACAACGTTATCAGTCTTGCCTCAGCGGTCTAATAACTCAGGTGAGTACTCCATTGTTTGCGACGACACCCATGAACCATCGTATCACCTTTGTTTTTTGCTTTTGTTTTCCGCTAGACACCTTTTTCGTAATGCTGCAGCTCACTGACCCCTGTTTTTTCGCTAAATATCGACTACCGTCTTCTCTGATATAGCCGCCTACGCCCTAATTTTCTCCATCTTTAAAGGCACTTACACCAATGGCTGGCTATCAGCTCCACTTTCTTACCGCCGGTGCCGAATTTTACCAGTGAGGTTTGAAGTTCATTTTGGTTTTGAGGGGATTCATGAATCGGCTTCTGGCTCAGGTGATTCATGTCATGCTAAATCATTGCATTCGGTCAATTTGCTATCTGTGGAAGCGCTTCCTGTTTAGTTCATAGCTTACATGGGTGATTGATTTGTCTGCTCCAATTAGTTTTCCAAACGTTTCTTTTCAATTAAATCCCTTATGTCGCTAGATTCGTACCCGGAGTTCTAGCGTTTTGACCCCTTTGGACGCCCTATTTTTCGAATCTGATGTTTTTCTACTCACATTTGGAGTGGAACTGTGTTTAGTGATCATAGTTTATATTTTCGGGCTTACGAGACATATCCTTCTCGACATGATCAAATATTTACAATTGTCTGAAAATATTCACAGCATATTTCATATGTCAAGTAAAAATAAAATCGCGTTTTTGACCTCCGTGGTCGTCCAGTTCAGGGCTACAAATGGGCACAATAATTTATGACATCCTGACGGAACAAACTTTTCTTGTACTTGATGATGGTTGAAAGGCAATTTTGTTGTGATAAGAGGAACATTAAAGTAGGAATCATGCTTATAGAACATAACATCTAATTTAGGCTAAGCATTTCTATACATTGTGGCGTTCTAAAAAGTAGTTTTGAAAGACGCATTTATTTATTTATTTTTATTTTAGCAGCTGTACATATACGCCGAGACAGATTGAAGAGGAGATTTATCTGTTGTGTGACTCGGACTTGGTTGGTATTGGTCAACGGACCCAGACGTATGCGAATAAAAGGAAAAATAAGACATATTGAAAATTGGGGGGAAGCTGTCGTAAGTATAATTAGTTAGCTTCTTGCCGCCTAACATGTTTACGTGAGGCTAACAAGAAAAGCGTTGCGGAATAAGAAACGAGCGAACGGTAAAAATGAACAGATTCAGTGTTTCCTTCTTACCTCACGCTTTTTGCTATGGCTGCAGGGTAGGCGTGGCTGAGTAAGCAGGATATGAGGAGTTGATACAGAAGTGACTAGCTCAATCTCAGTTCGCAATTCATCGGCAACCCACACTTTTTGCTATCTGTGAGATATGCTTCCCCGGGTAATGAAGAGTGGAACAGGTTCTGTCAACTTCTCATCTTTCTTTCAATGTACCTCTTTAGGAGAGCTTGCCTAAGTAAATACACTGTATGTTGCACATTTTATACATATTTGTCATCTGTGTACCTAAGTCTCGGTCCCCATCTCAAATAGCATTTTTTTCATCGCAATTCAGTTGCAACACTATTTTTACGTATTGCGCTGTCAGGCAATTTGAAAGTGTTCTTTTAAACACTGGTTGCCCTTTTCATGCTCTTCTATATGGAGGTGTTTGCAGATTCCAGTGTATCCGCTTAAGTAAGATTTTCCCCAGAAAATTAGCGTTTGTTGTGAACGCCGGGAGTATGTTCTTGATATTCCTAATTGCGTATCTCTCTTCTTCATTGAAATAAGTGGTGATATTTGGTACGAATACATGGTTATGGATCAAGTCACATTGTAACCTTAATCCTAGCTTCATACGTATCAGCCACATTGGCTCCAGTTGCAGCATCTTACAGTGCCCCGAGTTGTATAGTTTAGATGTTGGGTTAAATTAGGACTTTGTTAATGATTCCTGCACCTTTTCTAGGCACACTGCTTGTTGGACTTGGCTATTCGCGAGCTTCCGGTATCCGGTTAGCACTTTACCAAAGTTAGTTGATGTCCGGGAGAAAGTAGGAATTGCCCGGAAAATCCATTATTTTAACGATTAATCGATTGTTACTGATTATCGCATCGATTTCGAACGTTCTGGAATGTCCTAGGTTCTGCACGTGACTACCAACCACCTGATATGTCAGCCAAATCTATAAGGAACCACTAGCATTGGTAGTTTTCCTTCCAATTCCAAAAGTCGGTCAGTAAGAGACCTAAAATACAGCCAAGCTCCGCGGTAGTTGTGCAGTGATTGTTGACGGCAATTAATACGTTATTTTGCCAAGGTCATTGGTGTTCTGCTTTTTTCTTCGGTTGGGCTAGAAGTTATGTGGAGCAGTAAAGTGCCAATTTCGGAATCGCGTCTAATGAGAGGATTACGACACATGATGACGGAGAAAATTAGGAATGTGTTGAATTTTTCTACTGAACGATTTCAAGAGCTGTTTTTGCAACAGCAATCTCAAATGGGGGCACAATTGAAAATGGAAAAATTAACAGTGCTTGAGTTTTCAGTCAACAGTAGTAGTGACGCGGGACACGCAGGCGAGTTCCGTTGATCTTCTCACGAATGCAATCACTGCATTCTATTATGACGCGAATTTTGGATGCACACTGGAAGCGTGGTTCAAGCGCTGGGAAGACGTTCCGGACGGACTTTATTCGTCAGGACGACTCCTGGATGGTGCGACTGCCACTCCACAAGCTCGGAACAAGTAAATATTCACGATTCATACACCACATTCTGCCCAAACAGCAGAAGGGTCTGACCTTTGAAGAAGCAGTTTCGCAGCTGAATAAAATTTTTGGTGTCAGTCTCCTTGTTTAGTATTCGCTACCAATGCCTGAAAATTGTCAAACAGGAATCGGACGACTTTGGGGCCCTAGTAGACATGATTAATCGTGAATGTGGGCGTTTCAAGCTATGCTCTTTAACGGACGATCAGTTTCAATGTCCCATTTTGGTCAGCATCCTACAGTCTTCCATTGATGCTGAGCTCCGCACGCGGTTTTTAGCTAAGCTGGATCAGGATCCCGATCTGACACTGAAGAACCTGGTAAGCGAATGCAAACGACTGCTCACTCTAAAACGCGACACTGCCCTAATCGAACGGAATGGTCTCGCATCACCAGATACCGTGCACTTCGTGAAATAGGCCAGGACTGTCAGCTCAAGCAAACCCTTCAAGAGGTCTACGAACATACCGCCCACAGCATGATCGTCATGCGGCGAATGGCATTTCGCGCGGTTTTGTCCGTTCAAACGTCATATTTGTCAAACGTGCCATAAGCGGGGACATAAGAAGGAATTCTGCAGTCAGGTCCGGCTGAAGAATGTCAAAAGTCTTATAGGAAAAGGAATTCTAGGAAGGATGGCGCCGAGTCTCTGTCCATAGTTGCCGCATTCCAAAGTGAGTGTAAACCGAGGCGACGATTTATCAGTGTGTTGATCAGTGGGATCCCAACGGAACTGTGATCCGACACGGCCTCGAACATCACGGTTATTTCCAAGAACATATGAAGTCACCTAAAGAAGCAAAACATGGTTGAGTCTCAGAAAGTTGCACAAAATGCATCCGGCGGTGAGTTAAACTTATTAGGCGAACCTACTTGCAAAGGTGTGGAAGAGTCGCGAACCTGCTATATTTCAGACCGGTCGAATTTGCATGTTCTTGGTCTCGATTGGGTTGAAAGTTGCAAATCCTCTATGTTCCCTTGAATCAAATCTGCAACCGAGTCCGAGCAAGTCCAGACCCATCATCAAAGTCCGTCGAAGACATGACACGTTGGCTGAAGCGAAAATTTACCTCTGTCTTTCAGGATGACTTGGGCCAGTGTACGAAATTTAAGGCAACGCTAAGCCTGCGACTAAGTGCCAAACTAGTGTTCAAGGCTAAAAGACCAGTACCATGTCAACCGTTGGTCAAGAACTCGATCGACTGGAACGAGCCGAAATCATCACAGCCGTCAACTACTCATCATGGGTGCACCTGTTGTCGCAGTGAAGAAGGCAAATGGCAAGGTACGCTTCTGCACTGACTTCTCAACTGGATTTAACGCCTCGCTGGACGACCACCAGTACCCATTACCCGTACCGGAAGATATCTTTGCAAAACTGTATGGTGATAAGTGCTTTGCTAAGCTTGATCTCTCCGATGCTTACCATCAAGTGGATGTTGACGAAGTCTCGAAGGAGTTGTTGACGATCAACACTCATCGTGGGATATTCCAATACAACCGCTTTTCCTTTGGTGTAAGAACGGCGCCAGCTATTTTCCAACAGTTGATGTACGCCATGCTAGCGGGTCTTTCTGGAGCCGCTGCATATCTGGATGATATCATAGTAATGAGTAGAGCACCGGAAGAGCTATTTAACTGCCTGGATGAAGTGCTTGGTCGTATACCGTCGTACGGTTTCCGGATCCCTGAAGACAAATGCACATTTTCACGCGGATCATCAAATACCTCGCCTTTATCCTTTTAAAGCATGGACCTCGACCAGATCCGGAAAACTTAGAAGTCATTAGCAAAATGCCTCCACCAACAGATCTACACTCGCGACTACGGCGCATTCTTGCCTGAGATGCACCGCCTGCGTGCCCCGCTAAACAAGCTACCAGCCAAAGGCCAAACTTGGAACTGGGCATCATAATGCCTTCGAACGGGTCAAGACATTGCTGTCCTCAAACTTGCGTTTGATTTATTTTGATCCCTCCAAAGAGATTGTCCTAGCCACAGATGCATCAAGCCATGGAATTGGCGCAGTAATTTCACACACGTACTCCGATGGATCTCAGGAAGCAATCGCCCATGCCGCCATAACACTTAAGAAGGCAGCGAGAAATTACGGCCAGATCGAGAAAGAAGCATTAGCCATAGTGTTTGCGGTCAAGAAATTCCACAAAATGCTGTACGGTCGCCTCTTTAAGCTTCTGACAGATCACAAACCCTTTGCTGGCTATATTTGATTCGAAAGAGGGCATTTTGGCCTACACAGCCAACAGGCTACAACGTTGGGCTCTTAACTTGA